TTCCATGGCCGAGCAGCTGCATCCAAGCCTTACATCACCAAGTGCAATGGGAAGTGTCGGATTCAGTGGTGTAAAGCACACCGCCACTGGATTCTAGAGCAGTGGAGATGTGTTCTTTGGAGTGATGAATTGCGCTTCTGTCTGGCAATCCAATGGACATGTCTGGGTTTGGCTGTTGCCAGGAGAATGGTACTTGCCTGACTAGACTTGGCACATCGCAAAGTGTGGTGGAGGGTGGATTATGGTGTGGGGTTGTTTCTCAGGGGTTGGGCCTGGCCCCTTAGTTCCAATGAAGGGAACTTGTAAGGCATCAGCATACCAAGACATTTTGGACAATTTCATGCTCCCAACTGTGTGAGAACAGTTTGGGGATGGCCCCTTCCTCTTCCAACATGACTGCACACCAGTGCACAAAGCAAGGTCCATAAAGACATGGATGAGTGAGTTTGGGGTGGAGGAACTTGACTGGCCTGCAGAGTCCTGACCTCAACCTGATAACATCTTTGGGATGAATTAGAGCGGAGACTGTGAGCCAGGCCTTCTAGTCCGACAGCACTGCCTGACCTCACAAATGCACTTCTGGAAGAATGGTCAAACCTTCCCATAGACACACTCCTAAACCTTGTGGACAGCCTTCCCAGAAGAGTTGAAGCTGTTATAGCTGCAAAAGGGGGACAACTCAATATTGAACCCTACGGACTAAGACTGGGATGCCATTAAAGTTCATGTGCATGTAAAGGCAGGTGTTCCAATACTTTTAGCAATATAGTGTATTTACCTTAATTTTAACAGAAAGGATGCACTCAGAGGGATGGAAAGATTTATATGTATTAGCAGATCACAGGGAATAGGATAAAGCTAAAAAAAACCCCATACTTCTCATTTAAATATACACTCACCAGCCACTTTATTAGATACAACTGTTCAATTGCTTACCTGCCATCACATGGTAGCAACTCAATGCATTTAGGCATCTAGACATGGTGAAGATGACTTGCTAAAGTTCAAACCGAGCATCAGAATAGGGAATAAAGGGGATTTAAGTGACTTTGAACGTGGCATGGTTGTTGGTGCCAGACAGGCTGGTCTGAGTATTTAAACTGCTGATCTACTTGGATGTTCACACACAACCATCTGCAGGGTTTACAGAGAATGGCTTGAAAAAAAGAAAATATTCATTAAGCGGCAATTGTGTGGAGGAAAATGCCTTGCTGATGTCAGAGGTGAATGGGCAGACTGGTTGCTGCAACATTCAGATGGTAGGGTCAGAAGTTAATGAAAACAACATGAAAGCATGGATCCATCCTGCCTTGTATCAACAGTTCAGGCTGCTGGGGTGGTGTAATGGTGTGGGGGATATTTTCCTGGAACTAGCAAGGTGTACCTAATAAAGTGGCCAGTGAGTGTATATTCCTAATAGCCACAAAGGATATAAAGCCATTTGTGAGTACCAAATGCTTTATCAAGCCCAGATATTCCCTTTATAGAAGTAGCTGTTATTATCCTGGACATAGTCTGAGCGGAGTTGTGGGAGCAACTCCGCCCAATAAAGATGGCCTACAAAAAATACACACAAGGGGGGTAGATACAAGGCCAGTCACCCCGAAAAAAAACAGAGCAGCAATTACTGTTCTGTGCTACAGAAAGCTGCTGCACTGGTGCAAAGTTTTACATTGGATTACTGCACAGGAAGACATACACAAAGTGCATTTAATATTAAAGCAAGAATACACATTCCTCTTGTATTTAGACAATATCTGCTCTAATTAAAAAAAGAAAACTACCTTTGTGACAGCTATTGGTTAACTGAGAAATGGCGACAGAGGACATTATGGTACACACACAGAACAAACAATTTTGTTGTACATGACGACAAGTAAACCAAACTTTTTACTTCTAAAATTATTTATTTCATACTTCTAAAATTATTTCAACTTCATCTGCTGGTGATAAATATATCATCTATTTAAAAGAAAACACTTTGCGTAGTATATCAAACATCTGAAATGTTAAGTGATAGTATGATTGAGACATTGCACATCACTCCCCGTCTTGAAATGTTCATTTGGTCACCCAAAAGTTCAAAAAATTCAGGAATGACTTCAAAGTATTAAAAGGCTAACTGTCCAAAGAACAAGCATGAAAAATAAAACATTAATAAAATAGATTTTTTTTTATGTTCCAAATCTTAGAAAAAGATTTCAAAGTTTAGAAAAAAGATCTACAAAAATGCAGGTTGTCCAACATATTTTCAGTGGCTTCCTGCCACATGCAAAAAATTATGTTCTACTAAAATGTTATTAAATCACGTGGTATCACTGTCAGCAATCAGCCCAGTGAGTACAAGGCAATCGGTGTGGTTCATATACAAGTTGCAGAGCGCAGATTCCTGTGCTTAGTTTTTGCATCACTCACATAGGTGGACACCAGGTCCACAATTTTTTGGCCATTGGTTCCCAATTCAACGTTTGCTCACATACAGTGAAGCCCTTGTAAACGAGGCCTTTGTTGGCTTGTGTTACAGCAGTGGGTACAGCAAGCTTTTAGAAAGCATCTGCAGAACGTTAAACAACTTTTTGTTGAAGGCTGTAGGGTTCATTCACACACGTAGCCATCACAGCTGCTCCTCTGAAAAGAAGGCCATGGTGGACTGCTTTTCAGAGGGCATTTGACAGGCAGCGAGGAAACGATATATATCACCACCTCAGTGCCTGTTTTAAAACCCTTAAAATGCCTCAACTGCGGCCCCATTCCAGCACTGCCACCGGCCGTCAGTGACAAGCTGTTTAATTTCTGCCACAACCGTACAGCAAGAGAGTGAGGTTATTGGGTGGGGGTTCTTAAAACCATCTGATTTTACAGCCCCCTGGCTGCTCGCATGAATGAGACCTTAAAGTGATCTTATTAAACCCTTTTTTCATCAAAATAAAAATGAGGGTATACTTGCAATGGCACTGCATAAAGCAGTCCCTTGTCTCCCCCTTCTAGTTGTGGGTGTTACCATAGCAAGCCATGTGCTATGGAAGCATCCAGGCAAGCGCACTCCTGAGCTGGGCTGCGTGGGTCCATAGACCCACACCACTTGGCCATGCCCCCTGCTCCCTCCTCACAGGATATGACTGACAGCAGCAGGCGCCTATGGTACCTGCTGCTGGCTGTGTATCCCTCAGGAGGTGAAGGAAGAAGAGCTACAGCCGGGACAGTGATTGACCAAGGACAAGGCACAGGCAAGTGTTTACGTGGGGCGTAGGAAAAACAGTTAGCCGGGAGTTTTTTTTTTTTTTTTTTAGTAGTGGTAGTAAACTTAACTTAAAAAAAAAAAATTATATATATATATATATATATATATATATATATATATATATATATATATATTTATTTATTTACACACCGTATTTTTCACTCCATAAGACGCACAGACATTTTCCCCCATTTTTTAAGGGGGGGGAGTGCATCTGATGGAGCGAAAAGTACGGTACACATTTTCTCCCTGCAAGGTAATATAATGTGTAGGTACGCAACGCATACTAGCACATTATGAAAGACTTACCTTAGAACGAAGCCCTCCTCTGTCACCACTGCAGAAGACTTCCATCTTCATTTGGTCTTCCTTCTGGGTTCCCAGGCTGAGACTGCTTGAATGACTGAGCTGCCGATGACATCACCCCCGCACCATACAGCTCTGAAGGAATGGCACGGGTATATCGTTTCTTCAGAGCGCACGTGCCGGTATTGTCCCCGGGTGCTGCTGCTCTGTAGAATATCTCCTAATCGGTGAATGTTTAGGAGATATTCATTTTACCTACAGGTGAGCTTTATTATAAGTTTACCTGTAGGTAAAAAATATACAAAATGTCTTTACTACCACTTTAATGCAGGGAATGCAGGGAATGAACTGTTAGATCGACTTTAAAGTATCATTCATCTCCAGTTTGGGAAAGTTAAACACAAATATTGGTTGCAGTCTGACTTTAACCCTTTGAGGACCGTAAGATTTTGGAACGCCAAAAGAATAAATTTTTTTGTTTTTAAAGTTCGTACACTTCAGTTGCTGTAACTAAGCCATTTCATGAAAAAATTGGCAAAAAGCTAGATCCATTTGTTGTTTGTTGATAAGAACTAATATTTTGACTCAAACCAAAAAAAAAAAAAAAAAGTTTTAAGTTCTTAATCAGATGATACACGCAATTAAAAACATGGGACAAATACGTCCCTTGGTCCTCAAAGGGTTAAACAAGCCGTTGGCAGCATTCTTTTTTTTTTTTGTACAGTCAGTACTCCCATTACCATCTGTGTTGAACCTCCCAAAACTGGAAAGGTTCTTTAAAAGCGTCAACAAAATAGCTTCGCTTGCTTGCCAAACACACTGCTCTTACACAAGCTAAAGCCTCCTTCACATAGGCCATTTACGATTAGCTGGGAAATTGCAAAAAAGATCCCCTATTGAATTGGTGCAGAACAATTTCACTTTTTTGACATCAGCCTCCTTTCAGTTTTTTGCTGTAGGAGCTTTCCGGACCCATATTAGATCTACGAGCAGCAGAATTATAAAAAGGACTTGCATCCATTTACATCAGACCACCTCTGATCCATGAGGTGTTAGGCCTGAAAAAAAACAAAAACAAAAAAACTAAGGGACATAGACCCTTTCCATTTTTTTCCTGGATCCAGACAGACTTGGAGGCAATCGGATGTAAACGGATACACTTGCGTTTACATTCGCTTGCCCACAAACTTACATGGAGCTTTCGATCAGGTCAGCCTAAAAACGGATTGGCCAGAAACCAATCAGATTCTCCAAAGACCGAGTCCAATTAGCTTTTAGGAGCAGTCTGTCCTTCAGATACTAAAAGTAGCAACTAATACTCTCAGCATGCAAGCTGCATATTGAGAGCTGTAGTTTTTAAAAAAGTGGAAAAGCCCATTTACTGATGACAATTCTAGAACTAAATATAACATGCTAGGAAAAACAAAACAAAAAAAAAAAAAAAAAACAGTCATCAACAGGCACATCCCCAAGACTCTCCAGCCATGTCTTTGCTGTCAAGCTTTATACTATCTACTGGTTTTTCAGTAAAGACTGGTCCTCCATGCCTCATCATCAGCTCCATGGCCATCTTCACAAAAGCCTCTTCCACGTTACTGGAATCCTTTGCAGAGGTCTCGATGACATTGATGATATCATAATGGTTTGCTAGGTTTTCAGCATCTTGTAGTTGGACTTCTCGAAAGTCGTGCATGTCAGATTTGTTTCCTGAAAAGCAAAGGTTGTACTTCGTTATTGCATGTACAGATCCACCAACCTCACAAAAAACTGATAATATGCTATGCTAAAGCACAATATTTCAAAATTGTATTAGCACAATAAGTATCATGAATTAAAGTGTCTGTTAAAGGAAGAATCTAGATCGTTCCTCTTGTTCAATCAGTTTCTCACCTTACCGTTGCTAGAGCAGGTTTAGAGCTGAATAGGGTTTTTGAATGGGAATACCATGCCCCAAGCATGACCCTACACTACTTGCTGCCCACCAAACATGACAAGGGGGCATTTTTTTCCGTGCCACATGTGTACAACCCAATCCAGAGGCCTTTACAGCTTAACACGGGATTAAACCCAGAAGCAAACATTTATTTTATTGCAATGTTTGCTGTATTCATTTTATTTTTTTAGGCTTTCCTCTTATTTCCATCTGGTGATCTGGCCAGTAATGCCTGGTATACACGTTACGTTTTTTTTTTAGTTCAACCCAGCAAGCTGAACGAAAAAGAAAACGGAGGAGGTCACTGTACTAACTATACAAAGTTAGCACATCAATCTCCCCGCTGCGTCCCACTTGCCAGAACCCACTGGTCAGCACTCGCAGCCATTGGTTGAGATTGCTGTTTGGATGTTGATCGGTTGCTAGGTCTCCAGCATGCCGTTCGACAGTAGCTGGTCATGAGATTGGCTTCTTTATGGACAAGCAGCTGTAAATACGGGACGAAAGTCGTCAAGTTTCTACTGTAGCGGCTGATTTTGGACCATGTGTACAGAGCTTTAGTCTGCTTTTCAAAAGAACAAGCTCTCTAGCAAGATATATCAGTTACAGAGATGATACAAACCATTTAACACTCACCGGGATGCTGACAATGATCAGCACGGATTAGAGCTCATGTACACTGCAGCTGATAAACTCACGTTTAGGAGCTTTTCAGCGTGTTTTTTCAGCAGCCCCTGAACTCACCCTAATGGTTTCCTATGTGGCCATGTACACATCTTCATTTACAGGCATTTGAGTTTACAGTTGTTTTTTTTTAAGCAAAAAATTGCGTTCAGCAGTCAATTTTATCAGTATTTAAAACGCAAAACGCTTGTAAATGTGGCAAATTGCGTTTATAAGCAGTTTCAATTTTTTTTTTTTTTTTTTTTTTTTTTTTTTTTTAACTCTTCCAGTTCCCGATGCTGTCCAGAGCCTTTTTTTCATCATGAAAACAATGCATGCAAAACATTTTCAAGGTACTCAAATGGACACAACTCTGAACACAGGATGTTCCTACCAAGCTTGTCATACATTGCAATGACCAATTCACACCTCAGACCTTTCCCACCCTTGGAAACAAAAGATATGTTAATGACCATTCACACCTCAAATTCCTCATGAAGACCCCCTGCCAGGTGGCCTTAATGACTCACTCCACCAGACACCTTTCCCACCCTTGGAAACAAAATAAATGTTAATGAGCAACTCACCCCTAGCTAATCTCAACACATACTGCTGTCTCTGCTTCTACTCTCTGTATTTCTCTTAAACAGTCTGAAATAGTTAATAATTTACCACTTTTCAGTGCATTCTGGGCATTTAGGAGGTTCTCCTGTGCTTATCTTTAAAAAAAAACGCTTCTAAACTCAAACACGCATAAACGTGTTATGCAAATGCAGCTAAACAGAGGTTTTTCAGCCTACATTTTGCAGCAGTCAGTTTCCATCGTGCAGAAGTGTCCCGTGTACATGGGGCCTTACTGTATTCTGATGGTGAGGAAGTCTCACTCCTGTCAAAATACAATAGCTCAGCAGAGGATTCCCCCATCCACCTCAGATGTGTGGATGGGGGAATCTGGTCATATTTTTCGTTCAACCTGCTGACTGAAAAAAAAAATAGACCCCCTCTATGGCCTGCCTAAGGGTTCTCAATGCAGCCCTAAAGCATACGGATGACAGCTGGGTGACACAGGTATGGATAGACCTGGTCACACTCCTGTCTAGGGGGAACAGGTGTTTGGGAAGGACACTGAATTCAATAAAGAACAGAGAGCAAACAGAGACAATAGAGAGCAAACACTCCAGTACTGCACACACCCTGACAGTTTATCTTCAATGTTGGCACATCAGAGTCAGTGCATATGACTTGAGGACAACCAAGACAGGCAACACAGCAAACAAAGATAAAGGGCAGAGCAGGAGGCCTGGGAGTCAAACACACTCCACCTTCACAGGCGGCAGAGCTTTTGACATCAGGTAAAAAATTATTTACAGATGTCCTTGTTCAGAATACAAAGATAATCTCTGCATACAGCTTTAGCGAGCAGAGCTGCGTCATTTCCATGGGTATGGTTCATTCAAGCTTCCTGTCAGAATATCTGTTGGCCGTACATCCCGAACATCACATACATCCCGTACGGCAAGCAGATATTCTGACAGGTCTGCAGGAGACCTGCATGGCATCAGCGATCTATTGATTACTGGTGCAATGCTTTACAGGCTCCTTTGCACACAAATAATAAATGCACATTTTATTACCTGAAAAAAAATGTGCATTTATTATTTTTGTCCAAAAGGTGAACTTATCCAGTAAAAGATAAGACCTTTAAATGTCAGAATGTCTGGTAGCCGTACAGGATGTTCTTACTAATGCTCCAGTTTAAGCTGGTGACCATGACCGCTGCCCCAGGTTTCCTGTTTCAGGAGCCACCCTTGTATATAGGAACCAGAACTGTGTCTCCCTGCACTGCATATAGTAACCAGAATTGTGTCTACCTGCACTCAAAAGAAACACATAGCCCTGCAACCTAACAAGGTAAGGAATTCCCTTGCTCCTACCTCCTTTTTTTTAAGCTAAAGGTCTGCGTGGATACTGCACTGTCCACTGTTAACTCTTTCCTGTGAAGACCGGATGTTCAGGGAAGTGGCCCTGTGAGAGCAGAAACCAAGAAGCATTGGAAGTTGTATATTGCAAGTGCAGTGGTAAGAATTTTATCAAATAGTTTATTAGGGAGCAGTAATTTTACTGTGCTCAATGTGTTACGATAAAAAGGTGAGTGTTTAATACGGTTTCAAATGCTTGTTATATCTAGGGGTGCCAGAATAAGAAGAAACACTTACCTTATACTATGTTCCAGCCAGTTTCCTCAAGAGGTTCAATCAGTCCACCGCAGCCTCCTCTCTAATCCACTTTACAGTTATGGTTGCATATTTGCCGCCCCCCCCCCCATATATACTTTGCAGGGTTAATAACCCTACATTGCACATGACGATGCCGTGGGGCAGCACTAGAGAGTGGAGGGCAGGGTAGGAATCTTGATTGTTCCCCGTCCTCCTGGACATTATTGGCATTTAGCCTTTGCAGTGAGTTGTGCAGTTATAAGAGGACTCTGCATTACAATCACATAAATACACTATCTTCAGGCTGGAGAAAAATCTATTTTTTTTCCAAAATAAAATCAGATTTTTTTTTTAATTTAAAATTGGATTATTTTGATTTTTATCAGTTTATTTAAAAAAAAATGCTTTTCAAGTAAAAATCTATCTAAAAAAAAAGGTAGATTTCTGTTTAAGATACATTAATAATTTAGTTTATTCAGCATGAAATGGAGCTTAGTTATGTAGCATGAGGCTGTATATTCTGCAATATTTACATTCTCACAGTATCCATGAGAAAAAAAACACGAAATAAAAGAATTGGAGTCGTTCTCCAGCGATTAACCTACTAACCTAAAATCGGTTCTGATATCGCTGTTTTAGTAACCTGACATCTTATTATTCTAAAAAGGAAACCTTCATTTAGTTTGCAAATATTAAAGATTCTAACTACCAGCAAGAAAGAGTCGGATTCCTTACATTTAAAGAGCACCTGTCATTTTAGATCCATCATGGCAGCGCCTGTTAGCGGGCATCCGCTCACCTGCTCCCGCCACTTCCTTCACCTTGTTGTGTCACTGCCGCATCACCAGCATCTCATTAAAGTGAATGGGACTGTCAGTGACTCAATGGCAGGTTAGAGGAGGACCCACTTCAGGACAGAGATGACAGTTGGTCTTTAAAAATTATGATTAAAATCGAGCCTTTTTACTAGTGCTTTAAATCAAATCCATCCTGAGTATCTTTAACCACTTCCTGTCCGGCCCATGTACACAAACCACCGGACGGGAGCAGTGCAGGAGCGGGTTGCTGTTCATAAACGGCGTCCGCACTTTCAGGTTGTGCATAGTCCCTGAGAGCGTGTGGCACCACAATCTGGTGCCCGCTGTATCTGGAGGACACAGCAGAACACCGATCGCTGTACGGGACCCTCTGTGTGAGGTCCCAATCAGTGATCACATGAATAGTAGTAAGCAAGATGTCACTTCTGACATCATTGCTTACTACGTGTGAAATCTGTGAATGATCACAGAGGTCACATGGTACAAAGCTATTTCACAACAGCCTTGTACCATGTGACCAGCTGCGACCAATCACAGCTCTCACAGTATTTCTCAATGGCTGCAAGTATGCAGCCAGAGAGAAGCAGAAATGATTGCTTTTACAGCCTTTATGGGTGTAAAAGCAATCAGTGTAAAAAAAGAAAATCTTCATCACACCCCACAAGTAGTACAATGTCACTATGGTGATACTGTACTGCTAGGGTGACAGTATGTTAAAACAAAACAAAAACAAATAATATTTAAAAAAAATAAAAATTTAAATATTTTAAAAATTATACATTTTTGGTTATAAACTAATTTGGGTTATTTATTTTTTTACTAAAAAGATAACAAGATAATACATTTTGGCCAAGATGTATGATGAAATATTATTTATTTGCAAAATTTTATAAGAAAAACACTTTTTCAAAATGTTTAGACTTTTTCATTTATATAGCAAAAAAAAATAAAAATCCCAGTGGTGAATGAATACCACCAAAATAAAGTTTTATCTGTCTGAAAAAAATGCTAAAAAAAATTCATATGGGTACAGTGTTGCATGACCGCCCAATTGTCATTCAGAGTGTGATAGCGCCAAAAGCTGAAAATTGGCCTGGACAGGAAGGGGGATAAAAGTGTCCGGACTGGAAGTGGTTAAAGAGCACCTGTCATTTTAGATCCGTCATGGCACCGCCTGTTAGCGGGCATCCACTCATCTGCTGACGCCACTTCCCTCACCTTGTTGTGTCACTGCCGCATCACCAACCATCCCATTAAAGTGAATGGGACTGTCAGTGACTCAGCGGCAGGTCAGAGGAGGACCCACTTCAGGACAGAGATGACAGTTGGTCTTTAAAAATTATGATTTAAATCGAGCCTTTTTACAAGTGATTTCAATCAAATCCATCCTGACCATCTTTAATGACTACAAACTTTACATTTATCAAATTAAAAAAAGAAAAAAAAAACAAAAAAAAAAAACACAAGAGAAACTATAAACCTTATCCACTTTTTTCTCTGTGGGCTTGCATTTTAATTTTTTTGTACATTGTGATCCTGCCACTAACACCTTTCCCAACAACTTCCTTTCCTAGAGCGACAACGCTCCCAGAACATCTCTATGCGGGAGCAGCGTTGTCCTAGTACACACATACTCACTGTGGCTACTGTTCCCTATCTGTGGACCCCTCCATCTAACATGCAGCTGCTGCTATGATGTAGGTGGCATGAAAGAACAACAAGATCTTGTGTGCCGTACATGGAAAAAAGGTAAAAAAAAAAAAAAAATACTTGCAGGAAGTGGAGCTTGCTAATATGGATATCTTCCACCCCTCCCCTGCAGGATCCTGATGGTGCCAAACTGACAATACAGCCCAGAGCAGACAGAAATCCTGGCATGCTAACTATGTGCTATTAGCACATCCCCACTCAGCTTGCCCTGGGCTGCACACATCACTTTGTATAGCTGGCCATACACTATTTATTTCAGGTACTTGTATAGCGCCATCAATTTACGCAGCGCTTTACATATATATTGTACCTTCACATCAGTCCCTAACCCTCTAAGGTCCCTAACTCACATTCATATATACACATACTAGGGCCAATTTAGACAGGATCCAATTAACCTACCAGCATGTCTTTGGAGGGTGGAAGGAAACCGGAGTACCCAGAGGAAACCCACGCAGGCACAGGGAGAACCTGGTGGTGCCGTGGCTGGGATTCGAACCAACAACCCAAGTACTGCCAGGCGGAAGTGCTAACCATTTAGCCATTGTGCTGCCCACACTAGTAGAATTCTGGTCTGAATTGTTTGTAAGAAGCATATTTGTTCAATTTTCTAATCATTAGTGGACTGAAATCAACACTTGTTTTCAATTGCAGTCTTGAGAAAATCTGAAGGAGCAGGACAGAAGTTTTTTCTTGAAAGGACACATTTCTAACAGTGTATGTGGTTATCTTTCAGAAAAATCTATTCACTCCAAAATTTTCATTTGCTTATAACATTTGATTTTGAAGTTCATCTGAATGTCACTCTTCAAGTCATTGAATGTATGTTTGTAAATCTACTAATGTATGGCCAGCTTTAGTCTGAATTCTTACTAGAAGCCATGAAGGTGATAGTAAAGAAGAATTTCAAGTTTTGTTTGGACAAGGTGGGGGGGGCCATGATGTCACGCTCTGCACCTTGTCCAATCAGAGAATGCTTTGCATTCATTCAGAAAATGCGAAGTATTCTCTGAATGGCTCCTGTGCCGAGTGGCCGACCTCCTGTGTTCAGAGTGTAGTAGACCAGCCGCTCAGCACAGGACCCTGTAGCAAGTGGAGATCACTGCAGTATCGGTGATAAACTTCAGTGATTCAGTCTCCAGAGGCATCTGCCACGTATGGCAAGCTGGACCAATGTAACTATGAGTAAAATATTCATAATATAATTCAAAATATTCATGGGGCAGCACAGTGGCTAAATGTTTAGCACTTCTGCCTGCCAGTACTAGGGTCATTGGTTCAAATCCCAACCACGGCACCACCTGCCTGGAGTTTGCATGTTCTCCCTGTGCCTGCGTGGGTTTCCTCCGGGTACTCCAAAGACATGCTGGTAGGTGAATTGGATCCTGTCTAAAATGGTCCTAGTATGTGTATGTATGAATGTAAGTTAGGGACCTTAGATTGTACACCCCTTGAGGGTTAGGGACTGATGTGAATGTACAATATATATATGTAAAGTGCTACGTAAATTGACGGCGCTATACAAGTACCTGAAAAAAATAAATATCAATTCAATTGAAACTGGCCGACATTCGGCCCATGTGTATAGCAGCCGGTCTGAAGAGGCATGACCGAAAAAGGTCTGCCAATCTGCTCCCTATCAGCGCTCTCAGCCAATGACTAAGAAAGCTGACTGGAGTGTTCTGGTGGTGGTGGGGGCGTCCCCCCTTGTCAGAACAAAATAGCTCAGTTGGGGTGATCACTGTACTAGCAGTGAGAAAGTCCTAGTTTCATTACTAGTATGAAAAACAAAAAAAATCCCAGTATATATACACCGTAATGTGTAAACGCTATAACTTTCACGTAAACCAATTAATTTACACGTATTGGGATTTTGTTTCTTTTAGCAAAGACATTTTGGCCTAAATTTATGTTGAAATTTGATTTTTTTTTACTGGACATGTTTAATAGCAAAAAGTCAAAAATATTGTTTTATTTTTTCAAAATTGTTGGTCTTTTTTTGTTTATAGCACAAAAAATAAAAAAAAACACACAGACAATCAAATACCAGCGAAAGAAAGCTCCATTTGTGGGGAAAAAAAGGACATAAATTTCATTGGATGCAAGCGTTCATGACCGCGCAATTGTCAGTTAAAATAACGCAGCACTGTATTGCAAAAAATGACCTGGTCAGGAAGGGGAGTAAATCCTCTGGAGGGAAAGTGGTTAAAAAAAAAAAACCCACAGAAAAAAATAAAAAACTTTTCCCCTGAAAGTCACTCCCTCACGTGTCCATGGGAGCCCCGTCTGCGGCACGGTGCTCTGAAGGGATGGTATGCTGTCTCTTCAGAGAGCACTGCGCAAGCACTGGTGACATCACCAGCTGTAGAAGTAGTGAATGTCTCCTAAACGGTGCACATTTAGGAGATAATCTTTGTACCTACAAAGCACGCTTTATTATAAGCTTCCCTAGAGGTACAGGTGAGAAAATGGTGTTTAACCAATTCAATACCGTGCAATTTTACACCTTCCTGCCCAGGCCAGTTTTCAGGTTTCAGCGCTCTCACACTTTGAATGACAATTGCGCGGTCATACAACATTGTACCCAAACTAAAATGTTATCATTTTCTTCACACAACTAGAGCTTTCTTTGGTGGTATTTAATCACCGCTGGGGTTTTTATTTTTTGCTAAATTAACAAAAAAAGACCAAAAAAGTTTGAACAAAAACACATGTTTTTCTTTGTTTCTGTTATAAAAGTTTGCAAATAAATAATTGTTCTTCATAAATTTAGGCCGAGATGTATTTCTGCTACATGTCTTTGGTGAAAATAACCCAAATTAGGATGTATTTTTTAGTTTGTAGGAAAGTTATAGAGTTCACAAAACTATGGTATAGATCTGAATATTGATCAGTCCTGAAGTACTGACAGCCAATCTAATTTCTTGAGGTCCAAGAATGTCAGAACAGTACAGATATCCCCCAAATGACCCCTTTTTGCAGAGTAGACAGTCCGACGTACTTCATAAGAGGAATGGCGAGTTTTTTGAAGTTGTATTTTTTTTTGTCATAATTTTTCGGAAAATTAAAAAAAAATTTAAAAAAATTAGTTTCAGTATTTTTTTTTTTTACATACTGTCACCAGTGCAGTACAGCGTCATCATATAACTGGCATGGTGGTGATCAGGGACACTGAATGGTGACAGTATGAAAAAAAAAATATATATACATATTTATTTTTATTTTTTTTTTAAGATTTTTTTTTCATATTTCACTATGACCAAAGTAGTACAATGTTACCATAGTAACATTGTACTACTTTGGGGAAGTGATCAGTATTTTTTTTTTTTTTTTTTTACACAATTTGCTTATAGCAAAGAATTACTTTGCTATAAGCAAGCATTTACCTGAATGACATCGATTCACTCAGGGGTTTTTTTTTTTTTTTTTTTTTTTTTTGTGCTTAGCTGTGATTTGGCCACAGCTAATCACATGACATGTGCATGTGATTAGCTGTGACCATTCACAGCTAGACACTAGTATAAAATGGATGGCATGAATGAAGCCATCCATTGTATACAACTGTCATGTGACCTGCTGTGATTGGTCACAGCAGGTCACATGGTACCGGCAACGGGGGCCGATACTCAGATCTGTCATCGGCCGTGTCCGAGGTACACGGCCGATGACAGATCGCGCCGCTGTGCCGCTCTGCAGGAGCGCAATCTGCGCATGTGCGGGAGGACGCCATATGGCATCCACCTGGAACGCTGATGACATTTGCCAGCTGCCCTTCGGCCATAGGGCGGGCGGCAAATGGTTAAAGTGTTACTAAACCCACAACAGTAAAATCAGTCTGTATATGCAGTAAAGCATGCTTGTTATACTCACTGTGGAACCTAAGGGGTTAATCCTCTGCATTGTGCAAAAAGGCTGATCCTTTCTTCTCTGCCCCTCCTCTTGTTGCCGTGTACTGTGGGACACCAGGTATAGTGAATTCAGGGTCCTGGGTTTAGTAACACTTTAATACCACTTTATGTTGCCAAGAGATGGACTTTAGGAATCTAACAAAGTAAAAAAAAAAAATTCAGGACATATGAGGTTACAATAGATAAAAAAAAGAAAAACAAAAAAGTTTGGGGAAATGTGAAAACATCTCGCTGACTTTTTGCAAGTCTTACAACACTAGTGTGATACAAGAAGCTCATAAAGGAAAGAGACAATTCAGCTCACCAATCAGCAGCTGTACGATGTTGGAGCCGGCATATTTCTTAACGTCCTCTATCCAGCGAGGAACAGACTCAAATGACTTTTTCTTGCTGATGTCGTAGGCAATGATAGCTCCATTGGCGCTCCTGTAGTAGCTCTGGGTTATTGTGCGGAAACGTTCCTGCCCAGCAGTGTCCCAGATCTGCAACTGTTAAATGGAAAATCCATCAGCTAGATCATTGTCTCTCATGATGATGGTTTATACCTTCTCCAGGCTCACAGCAGATAGAGGCAACACAGGCTATATCAATGAGGAGTGACCCCACCTAGACAGCAGATGAAACCTTCAAGCAAGAACATTTGTTCATTTACGCAGTTCCACCATGTTCTGTGCAGGGGCGGACTGACAACTCATGGGGCCCCCAGGCAATTGGGGATCATGGGGCCCCTGTGTCCTTGGCCAAACTCAAAAAAGCCTATGAAAAAGGTACCAGGGGCATCTCATGGGGCCCCCTACTGACCCCGGGCCCTCGGGCAGTGCCCAAGTTTCCAAATGGTCAGTCCGCCCCCGGTTCTGTGGCATTGTACAAAGTATGCCCTGCAGCTTGGAACTGCGTGAATGCTTTCTCAGTGAATATCCCCATTTGCAGAAAATTCAATTTTACAAAAATGGTGTCTGACAACGGTATGAAGTGCATTGGCTGCCTTAGAATTTTAAAGGCCAAAACTTGAAGTGAAACTAATTTACGTGAAATGTACCCCTGCTAGATTTGTTTTTGCCATCTGTGTCCCATTTGGCAGATTTCCCGTCACTTCCTGTGCAATAATCAAAACAGGAATTGGGAAGAAATGCCTGAGGGAATCTCTGGTTGTTATCAGGGTCACCAGATCTAGTGTCCCCATTGGAAGATGTCATCTCTTAGGCTGGCCATAGACGGGCTGTTTATTGGCCGAATTGTGGCGATAAACGAAAAATCGGTCGCTGCTGCCATGGATGCTGCCACTAATGCTTATGAAAAATGGATGTTTTTCGTGGATTTTCCAGCATGACCAACAAAAAGAAACGAGAAGATCCACGAAAAACGGCCAACAGCATTGCCCCACTAATGGTGTGAATATCGGCCGATTTTTCGTTCGGACGAAAATCCAGCCGATAAACGACCCGTCAACGCATTACTGTTCTGGGGACAACCCAAAAATGTGAAATTTTTTTTTTTTTTTTTAATGTTCATATTCTGTGTAACAGTAAAAAGGACAAATAGAGCAGGTGAATCTCTCTAACAGGCACAGACAGCAATACAAACCTGACACGTGTTCCAATTCCGCTCCGCTTTATCCCTTGGAGGGGCAGAGCAGAGAGCACTGACTGACATTAAGCTCCTACTCTGACTGTGCAGGAAGGCTGCCGAGGAACTACTTAAGTAAGTGAACAAGGTCACCTGACCTACTGAATGAATTGCTCCACACTGCCTGCAGCTGCAGGGGTCATTTGCTAGAACATTACCTATTACAGTGATGGGCCAGTTATAAGACTTGGAAGGAGGTGCTGCCAGGCTCTAAACTCGGGATGCTGGACAAAGAATGGATTTGGCAGTGCCAGCTTTTTGTAAAGAAAAAAAGTAAACAGAGTTTGCATGTTCTCCCTGTGCCTGTGTGGGTTTCATATGGGTAATCCTGTTACCTTCCACGCTCCAAAGACATACAGGTACATTACTTGGCTCCTGTCTACATTGGCCCTAGTATGTGTATGTATGACTGAGTCGGGGACCTTAGATTGTACACTTCCTAAAGGTTAGGGACTGATGTGAATGTACAATATATGTAAAGTGCTGCGTAAACTGACAGCTATAACAGTGTCTGTAATAAAATAAAAGAAATAACTGGTTAGCATAATTCACCCTAAGCAGAAATAGAACACATATGTTTCTGTCAATAGAGTCCAGTTACTTTGTAACAGCGATGCATGGTGGTGCGCTGCAGTTCTATTCATTCTGAATAGCGTGTCAACACATGAGTGCTGCAGTGCACCACGATGTGCGTCAGAAGAATGGGAGAAAAATCCAGAGAGAGCATGACGGAGAATATGAAAAGTGATAATGGGTGAGAAAGGGAAAGGGATGCAGATAATGATAGATAAATATAAGGAGGAAAAACGGAGGTAATCAAGTTAAGATATGGACTGGGGTACATTGGGAGGGGAGTCTGTGGGAGGTAAGAAATTGTAAAAGTGATTTACGACATTGGGAGGAAAAAAAAGAATGGGCTATCTTAACAAACCATGTTGACATGCATGCTTTAATGCACCAACAGATGTAAATATGCCCCTAATGAAATGGCCACACATTTGCAGAGAATACTCTTGTACTTCCCAGGGTTTCACCAGTAGAATGCTGCTGATAACAAAGTTGCAAATTGCTACAGTTCACAGGTACCTGCTACTATGGGAAAATGCTGATCACATCATAAATGAAAATGTTCAGCAAATAAGAGCAGCCCCCGGTATATAATGCACAATGGATAACCAGCATATTACATGGATGGCTACAAATGCCAAGTTGTTTTAATGAACTGAAGTCCTCCTGCACACTAAACGTTTTTACAGTGGCTGTTTTTGGCTATTGACGTTTTTTTTTTTTTTACAGCTAGTAACCCCCAGCATGTTATCTTATGTGTCCATGCATCAATGTTTTTTGGCAGGGACTTTTTTGGCTGTGGTATTCTAGGAGAGTTTTTTTAGCTGTAAAAACGCTTTAGCGCTGAAAAGCGTGACAAAACGCAGTAAAACGTCGCAAACCAGCGTTTTTGGACTTTTTTTGACCAAAAAGAAACATTTTTTTTTAGGTAAAACACAAAACGTGGAAAAAAACACTGCTAAACACTAACGCAAAAACGCTAAAAAAAGCTACAAATATCAAGTTTTTAACATGACTTATCACAGCTAATGTTACCAGCATTATCAAAACGCCCCGTATACATGAGGACTAACTATTGCAAGACTGTGTTGTCTCAGAAGCGAAGTCACTGCAACAAAGAACAACAAGATCTCCAGCATCTCGCGGAGGATCTTCCTGGGTAGGTGTGGTGGACTCAGGGCAGAATGACTCAGATATATTGACTTCCCTTTAAATCTGCATACAGCTCCATTGTTTACATCTGAAACTTGAAAACAGCTAAACAAAGCCAAATATTCCCTTTCCTACCGAGCCCTGGTGATGATCACCAGACAATATCAAATGTATGACATCACATCATACATTAATACACAGACTTCTTAACTAGGCAATGGTCCGTTTTCTATCTATTGTTGGAATAGGCACTTGTAGTCGAGGAATTCCTTCTGCCATGGCACTGCCTTCCATCTGTGGTTGGAATAGGCACTTGTAGCCGAGGAATTCCTTCTGCCATGGCACTGTCTTCCATCTGTGGTTTGAATAGGCACTTGTAGCCGAGGAATCCTTCTGCCATGGCACTGCCTTCCATCTATTGTTGGAATAGGCACTTGTAGCCGAGGAATTCCTTCTGCCATGGCACTGCCTTCCGTCTATGGTTGGAATAGGCACTTGTAGCCAAAGAATATCTTCTGCCATGGCACTGCCTTCCATCTATGGTTGGAATAGGCACTTGTAGCCGAGGAATTCCTTCTGCCTTGGCACTGCCTTCCATCTATGGTTGGAATAGGCACTTGTAGCCAAGGAATTCCTTCTGCCATGGCACTGCCTCCCCACTATCATATTAGGTGAAGCTTGAGCATTCCTGTGCAATTCTCGCAAAAACATTGCAATTGCAACACGGTGTGGGAACCACGCAGGGATCACTGCGTTTCCCACACCACATTTGTGTGAGTCTAGGCCTAAAGCAAAACTAAACTCTCTCAATCAACAACAATAATTGTTTTTAATCCTTGTGCTGCTAGTCTTAGCAAGTAGATAGGAAAGTATATTCTATTTGCTTATTATAAACATTTTTTTTTTTTATTTCTTTAGTTACTTCCTGGTTTCTGGCCTAGGCCAAAATGAGGTCATCCATCCCAGAAATCTTTCAGCTGGAGGAACTTTGTCAGCTAAGCACGCCTTCCTGTCTGCATGCCTGAGCAAAGGGCAGACTGATTCCAGGAAGTAAATGGTGCACAAATCATTTGCCCTTACTCAAGATAGCTGCACCTAGAAAACCCTGGAGGTGTTTTCAAAGCAATTTCTCAAAAAACAAAGCATAGAGACATGGATGGATTGGCAAGTTTGCTTTGAATATTAAATATGAAATAAAGAGAACTTTATCTTGTGGTGCTCAGATACAGTTTAGTTCTGCTTGAACTCTTTTACTGCTGTGCCATAAGTACTATAGTGGGTGAATAACAGAATGTAGCCAAACCTCCATGTACTGTGCATCTTCTATTTTGATAATATAAAAAAAATAATAAAAAAAAAAAAAAAGACATTTATCTTAAGACGATCTTTCTCTTGGAAATCATCGTTTTGAGGCTTTGTATGCTTTGTGACTCTTTATAGGTCGAATTTTGAAGGTGACTGCGCACGCTAGCCGGTGGAGGATTTGTTTGTCCATATATGTTTGCAGCACTGGATTTGTCACGGTATGCACTGAAGATTCACTACGTTGCTCTCTGATTTTTTTGGGACTGTCATTTTCCATAATATATATATATATATACACACACACACACACACACACGTACATACGTACGTATGTACGTATATATATATATATGAAATATATATATATATATATATATATATATATATATAAATATATATATATATATATATATATATATATATATATTTATTATTTATTTTCAATCATTTTTTTATTTTTTGGGACTGAGTCACTTTTTGACATTTTTGGGTTGAGTCACTTATCCATTATTTTTGATTGATTATTCTGGGACTGAGTCACTTTTTGTATATATTTTATATGAGCAAATCACACAAACAAGATGACATTTCTGGGGGTGTTCAGAATGCCTCCAGGTTGCCATATTGCATTGAATTTTACAGTAAGTACAGTGGTTGCAGACTAAAAAGGAAAGGTATTTTAATGTCATTAAAGAAGAGTTCCAGTGAAAATAAAAAAAAAATAAATAAAAGTCAGCAGCTACAAAAACTGTAGCTGCTGACTTTTAAAAAACAGCCACTTACCTGTCCCTTGATCCCATGGTGTGTCCCCTGCAGTCTGTTTCACTGGCCGCCTTGT